CATGTATATCTTTCTAACTCACACATATCACATATCTTTAAATTTTCCATTAAAATCATTCCTTGGTTATATTCATCTTGCTTTCTTTCTTTTTCATTAGAAGCATACCTATCTCCTAAGAATTCTGTTCTTAAGATTTTTTCAAATCTTTTTAATATTTTCTGTATATTTTGTTCATTTAGAGTATTCCTATTATCTAATACCTCAGTTCTGTTTGTTCCATATTTTATCCTTCCTTTAATAATTTCTGGTAACTTTCTCCACCATTCAGAAACAATTCCTCTGAATGTATGTTCTATAAATCCAAAAGCCCATTTGTTAAATTGTATAGCTAAATCTGTACTTTTTATCCATGTTTCTATAGCTTTATCTTTATCTACACAGTCTAAATCTAACCATACTCCTGTTGTGTGGATTGGTTCATTATAAGATTTCATTGGATTTATTTCTTTTATGAATTGTTTTCTTACATTTCCAGTGTATCTTTTCTGTGTTTTTCTATATTGATTAAGACCATCTTTAAGTGGTATTGTAGTACCATAAGGATAATCTTGTTCTTCATCACTACTGAATTCTACTTTTATATCATGACTTGAAGATGGATTAGTATTCATTTTTATATTTTCCATTTTTTCAGTTAATTCTTCTAACTGTTTTTTATATTTTTCATACTCTTCACCTGTTGATTCTAAGAATTTTTGTTCTATCTCTTCTACATTTGTAATCATATATTGTTTTTCTTCATGCCTTTTTCCTTTATTATTTTCCTTTTGTGTTATCCTAAAATCTTGGGGTGAATTAATAATAATCCTATCTTTTCCTCTAAGGTTTTTATCTAACAAGGCATTTCCTATTTGTAGATTATGTTCTAGATTCTCTAATCTTTTATGTATATCCCCAAAATTTTCATTTGTGGTATTCTTAGGTAAATAAGGATAACTAGGTTTTTTATGTTTTTCAACTTTTTTCAAAAATTCTTCAATTATATTTTCTTCATCTACTATATTCATCATAATTTTTAGTTCGTAACATGGCTCTGATACCATTTCATCGGAGTGTGCAGCGGAGGGGTTAATATTTTTAAGCCAATTAGAATCTTCATAAATATTTAAAATATCACAATAAAATTTATAAAATTCACTATTTTTTATTAATACTCCTTCTTTAATAATTTTATTTAGTTCTTTAATTCTTCTTCTCAGATTAAAAATTAGTTTATATATATTATTTTCTGTTTTTATTGTACTATTATCTATAGTAACGTTTTTATTTTTTAATTTTGGATATAAATAATCTGTAAAGAATCCTTTCAGACCTTCTTCTAAATAGTTTAATTCACTTTCTGTTGCATTTTTTAGATCAATAAAATTTTGTATTATATTTGGATCTAAATTTATTAAAGATTTATGATCTATATTTTCTTGAGTACCTATTTGAAGGTTTTTATACATTGTAATGGCTTTGGTTGCAATTTCTCTATAAAGGGTATTTTTGGAAAGATAGTTATTTAAAGGCTATTTTTCAAATGTTTTCATTTCTTAGATTAATTTCAAAAATCTTCCTTTTATTTAGGCTGTTTAGTTGTATTTCCCCTTATCTCCCAACTTTTAAGACTATATATTAATTAATGACATTTAAACGTCACATTTACCAGTATTTAATACTATGGTGTTAAACAGTGTTACTCTACTTCCTTTGCATCCTCAACTTATTTATTTGTCCCTATTTGTCTACCAATTTTTTTCTAAAACTCATTTTCAACCGCATTCTCACAATAAAATACTTTTTATGTAAACCCAAAATTTTTCTACTTTTTAACCATATATTTTTCAAAAAATCACTATTTCAAAACTTATTTTTCCCAAAAAATCTCTTTTTAAGGGGGCATCAAACAATGGCTTAATAGTGTAATCTTTAAACTTAATATATCATTTCATTGCCAATATGTTTATATCCCGTATTCAACTAATTTATTTAAAAGTTTACAAATATTTTATCCAGAACAATACCCAACGTTATGCAATGGTATCACTTGTATGAATTTTTGAAAGCTAAAACAAAGTTGCTAATGATATGAAGTTGAGACTTGGTAGGGAAATTGCATGGAAGTTGTTGATGTAAAAATTCAATTTTAGTATATAAGTTTTATATGCATACGTGATAAGGTCATTCATTAAATTAAAATATCTCGTACATTGACCTATTCAAATTAAGACAGTTCAAATGTCGAACAACATTTGTCGAATATATTTTCTGACCAAGTTTTGCAATAATTCCAACATCTATAAGATTAATCGTATTCCCACCCACAGTTCTCAACCCCATGCATTAAATGAAAACAATAAAAATATATATATACATTAGAATTAAAGTTATTACGTAGCAAGTTACAATCCGCAAAAAAATAATCCAAGTTTAAGATGGAATAAATATATCTATTTTTATAAACAAGGGAGAGGATAGAGACAAGTCTAAGTGATTGTTTGATAAAAAATTTCTAAAATTTTATCAATTTTTTAACGACTAAACTCGATTTTAATCATATATTTTATGAGATTCACAACTTTTTGACAATTTTCTGTGCAGAATCCAATTTTATGCATGTTTATGTATGCAATCTCTCTCTCAACTTAATTTCTTTGGCAAATTTTTTTTTTTTTTTTAGCTTTTCGCTGCATGGATGGAAGGGGGATTAGTGATTGAGGGCTAGTGGTGGTAGTTGGCTTAAGTCGGAGATAGGTCTTAATGGGGAAGAAGACGAAATTAGAAAACGAAATGTGATAAGAATTTTGCTGTTTTGGGCAAAAAATTGGAGTCATTTAATACATCAAAATAAATATACAGTCTCATTTACAACGTCTTTTAAATGAGAATTAATGATAGTAAAATGGTAAATTTCATCATTAATAGAGATCGCTGATGTGGTAGTGGACTATGTATCATTAAGAGTAATGTTATTCATAATCGCTCACAGCGGTAGTCACCCTACGAGACATCGTACATAGCGGTGTGTGATTTGATATATTACTGTGGTAGTTTTTTTTCACCTCACATAAGATAATTGCGACATTGAGTGACTACAAATAACATTATTCATTAAATTGTGTCATGAATTTATTGAATAATAAATCAAGGGATCTATTAATGTCTAAACCGATGAAGGATAAATAACATTACTCCGCTAAAAAACAAAAGAAGAAATTATTCATTTTCGACAGCATAGATAAACTAAACTAACACGTAAAATATGCTATTGCTAACTTAATTACTTTAATAAAGCTATGTAACATCTTAGTTGTTGTAGCACCCATCTAGGTTTTTTTAACTGATATGTTGTCTTAAATTTGACTCATTTTCCTACTTTTAAGATTATATATTAATTAATGACTCTTGAACATCACAGAGGCCAATATTTTATGTACTAGTAGTATAAACAGCATTACTCTACTTCTTTCTTTCGCATCCTCAAGTTTTTTATTTGATTGTGTCGCCTTTAACCGTAATAATATTGTTTTATTGCTAATGTGGTTATATCCCATATTAAACCTTTTTTTTTTTTTTTTTTTTTTTTAAGTTTAGAAATATTTAATCTAAAAGAATATCCAATTTTATGAAATGGTATCACTTGGACAAATTTTTAAGAGCTAAAATAAAGTTGCCAATGAACTGAAGTTGAGACTTGGGAGGGAAATTGCATCGAGGTTGTTGATGTAAAATTCAATTTTAGTGCTGCTTTGGTAACTTCAAAGTAAATACTTCTGCTTTCCAGAATATTTTCCATTTCTCTCATCTTCCTCTAGAGAGGTGAATTCGATTATAGACAAAGAACCAATCATAGAAAGGAACTTATATGCATATGTCGTGAGATTGTTCATCAAATTACTGTATCTCGTAATTTCAACTATTCAACTCACGACAGTTCGAATGAAATTTGTTGAAAATATTTCCTGACAAAGTTTTGCAATAATTTCAACGTCTATAAGATTAATCATATTCCCTGTTCCCACCCACAGTTCTCAACCCCCATGCATTGAATAAATTAAAAAATTAAAAAATTAAAAAATTAAAAATTTAGCAAGTCACCATTCGCAAAAACTAATCCAAGTTTAAGACGGAATAAATTTTTCTATTTTTTTATAATCAGGGAGGTGAAAGAGACAAGTCTAAAATTTCTAATATTTTATCAACTTTTTAACCTTTAAACTTCAATTTCATCAATATGAGAGTCATAACTTAGTTTTATGAAAAACAAAAGGAAAAATCTGGATGGTCAGGGTGTTGGTGACCAAACGGTGCCCGACCCCTCACTGTGCCATGGACCCCGCGAGAAAAAAATATTGCCAAAAAATTGTGGACCCGACCCCCAGGTGAGGGGTCGGGTACCGGCCTGTCACTACCTCTTCTGATAGTGTACGTCGGTTCAAAAGAAAACTCTAAATTCTTATTATGTCACGTAATAAAATATTTTTTACGTAAACTCAAAATGTTTTCCTACTTTTTAACCACATATTTTTCAAAAAATCACTATTCAAAACATTTTTATTGATTTTTTTTTTTTTTTTTTTTTTTTTTTTTTTTTAAGAATAATGGCCATCAAAAGGGGCTCTTAGATCATCTTTTATCAAACTTTTTTATCAAATAACCCCTAATAATTGAATCCGTCAACTTGAAGTTGATCACCCAATTTGAAATGTTAATTTTTAGACGCTGAAAAAAGCATAAATACCTCCCCATATCTGCCCCTTCTTCGTCTCTTATCCGTGCGAAAATGGTGACAGTGAAGACAACTCACAAAGTAGAACCTGCTAAGCCAACTCCAAATGAAGTCATGTATCTATCAGAACTTGACCAAATTAAGGCCGTGACTCATGTGCGTACTGTCCATTTTTATGCTCCAACTACAGATTTTCTCTATTCGGATGCAATCCAAATTCTGAAAGACTCGTTGAGCAAAGCGCTTGTTATCTTCTACCCACTAGCGGGGCGCTTCCATGAGATTGGAGGAGGCCGACTTGAACTTCACTGCGATGCCAAGGGAGCAATTCTCGTCGAAGCTGAGTCAGAATCAAGGATTGAAGATTTTGAAATGCATGGTTTGTCGAAATATCATTTATTTTCATTATTTTCACGTGTTCTTTTTCTTTATTTTCTGTTAGTATAAGCTGTATCTTTATTTTCTGTTAGTATTGTCAGATGAGCTGTCATCATTTTATTGGCTTTGCCTTGTATATATCTTGGACTGTGATTCCTGTTGCATTGGGAGAATACAGAGAAAATATGCAGATGAAGTTTTACTGCACATATGGCCTTATTTCTTCCAGTTTTTGATTATGGTTTTCTTCCAAACGCAAATATGCGAGAGCTTATTCCAAAAATAGATTATAGTGCTACTCCAATATCTGAGCAACCACTGGTTTTGGTGCAACTGACTAAATTCAGTTGCGGTGGACTCTCTTGGCTTGGGCATTTCCCATGTTATAGTAGATGGCCCATTCGCTTTCCATTTTATCACCGAATGGGCGAAAATTGCTCGAGGGGAGAAGACCGGTATTCTCCTGGTACTCGACCGGACAATTTGGCAAATCGAAGAATCACCTAAGTTTGAGCACACAGTATTGGCACCACCTCCGCTCCTGCTAGGCCACTCAGATAATATGGAGGAGCGAAAGAAGACAACAACAGTTACCATTCTAAAGCTAAGCAAAGACGAAATTAATAAATTGAAGGACAAGGCCAATCAGGATACGCCATACAGAAATACCTCCCGTCCATTTAGTAGGTAACACAATATATATCTTCAGTTTCGTTAAGTACAGCGCAAATAGTTGCATTTTCTAACCCTACAAGTTTAACAATTTTATTCTCGTCTTTTAGTGTTAAGGGACAAATGTAAAAACCTTGGAAAAAGTTGAAGAAATAGGCTCAATGACGGGGCTTTGTTCCCAGGACTGACTTAGCAGTTCTATATTGATAGTTTTTTCTTTAATTTTTTTTTAATTACCAATAAAAATTTGCCAAGTCTATATGTGTCAAAATCTCAGTCATTGACCCTATTTTTTTTTCTATTGGAAAACCTTTTAAAATGGAATCTTAAGTATCAATATTTACTATATGCTAATAGTTTCCGGCATCATCCTACAGGTATGAGGCATTGACCGGACATATGTGGAGATGTGCATCCAAGGCACGGAGGCATGCGGTGGAACAAATAACGAGATTACATATAGCGGTCAGCTTCATAAATCGAATGCAGCCACCATTACCACAGGGTTACTTCGGGAATGCCAATTTACGCGAAGCAGCGATAATCACAGCGAGGGAATTACTTTCGAACCCTCTGAGTTATGCCTCAAGTAAAATACGTGAAGCTGTCGAAAGAGTAACAGATGAATATGTAAGATCATATCTTGGAGTTATTAAGGCTCTACCAGACGTTTCTGTGCATCGTAATTTTCACACGATGGGGTGTGCACTGGGCGGTTCCTATGGAAACCCTAGAATGAAATCACAAGTTGGGCATCTATGCCTATATATGATGCTAATTTTGGTTGGGGGAAAGTGATTCACATGGGCCCTGGATCAATCGGTTTTGATGGGAAATCTTTCATTATTCTGGGTCGAGATGGAGGCGGATCATTTACTATTGCATTGTGCTTGCAAAAAGAGTATATCGATACCTTCGCAAAGTACTTTTACGAAGAAATTTGAACAATATTCATGTTCTGAAGAAGGTCACCATGAAGCTAGCCTACTTACTAGCGTTTAATTTGCATGTAGTTAGTGTTATCGGAAATTCGACTAACGTAATCAAAAAAATCAATAAAATAAGTAGAAAAATAGAAACAGTAGATGAAGCGAGGTATGCCAAAGCAAATCTCCTCAAGACAGATTTCGCCCCCCAATGAAATGCAAACGGGATTATGGACGTCTGTCTCCCAAGATACAACGCTCTTTCCAAAGTCGGTACTGCACAATACCAATCTTGTCGGTCGAACCAATGAATGATCGTACTCGAATGGAATAACTACGAAAATATAAGAGAATTTTTAGAGCAAAATATGGAGAGAGAAGAATTTAGAAATCAATTGAATTCGTAATTGATTTTGTATTTTTAAAAACGAATTTGGGGGTATCTATTTATAGAGATTGAAGTGTCTCATGGAACAAGTGTGTGACATTTCAGGAACTGGTGCACCACTTGGTCTGATTCGTCTTAGCCATTGGATCGCACTATTTTCATGATCTGACGGTCCAGATTAAACCATGAAGTGAAGTGTCCATTCATCATGCCTATTCACCAATTTCTGAACAGTCACAGCCATGCGAATGCCATGCGTACATCTAACCGCCACGCAGGACGAAGGGACGCGACCTACCATGAGTGCGCCACCTAGAATGCCAACTCACCGAGCCTTGCGCTGCCACATCATCGAACCACGAGTCCATTTCCGAAATCTATAAGGCTCCCCAACTCCTCGCGACGATGCGTACGTGCAAAGTGCCAAGTGCGTCTCCAAAGCGCCCAATGCGTACTTTGCGACGTGCATGTGTCGGGACCGAGACTGGGTCCGAGGAGCGGTACGAAGCACTACTCTAGTGGTGACTAGCTTTTGGCTAGCTAAAGTTCGTCAAGTGGTAGGTAACTTATTAAATTATATATTATTCACACAACCCACTAAATAAACAAGACTATTTTCTTGTAAACTTTCGATGTGGGATTCCTTTCCAGATATAAAACACTTAAAATGGGCTTATCAACATATGGGCCTATATTGGAAACTTTTCCAATTCATCCAAATTAATTGCAATGGCCCACATCATTAAATATTACATTTAATGTTTTAACCCAATTAAATTCAATTAATTCAAACAATCACCCACATGAATGGAAGAAGTCGACTCAAATCAAGGAAGACGGAAGAAGAGTACTAACTGAAAGATAACGCATCAAGATAGGTAGCTTTCACTTTGAACCTTCTTTAGTAAGAATCTATCGAACTCACTTGGCTAATCAGTGAACGCAACGTTTTGAACTATCAACCGTTATTGCAAGCTCAGACAATAGACCAAACACATTATCTCTCTTATCAAACTTGGTTCTCTATTGTGTTCATTATTTCGGCCCTGAACTACTTGGGTTCTACGAGTGTTTTAGAGAATTCGCCTAAGTAGATTCTCATAAAACTGGCCACGTTCGCACTAACATAGGTGATGTACTATAAAGAGTACCCTATTGTAATTACTTGTACCATTTATAGTCATCATTAAAAGCATAGCTTATTCTTAATACACTTCATAGTCAGCACTTTTTGCATCATAGAAATGGGAAGGAGTTAAACTCCTAAGTGCTTCTTATCAAGTCATTTATAATTAGTTTTCCTATTGAACCTAGTCCATGGGATCTCCAGTTGCCAGGTTAGGTTTCCAATAAGATGACTCATTGGGTTTTAGGCTTTAAACCCATTTCCCTCGATGTGCAGTCTATACGCTCTCTAGATAACCCTTTAGTGAACGGATCCGCTAGGTTTTCTTTTGACTTAACAAAATCAATTGATATTGTTCCATTTGAGAGCAACTGCTGAATGGTGTTATGTCTACGACCTATATTTCTCGACTTACCATTATACACAAAATTTTCAGCCCTAGCTATTGTGGCCTGGTTATCACAATGAATACAAATAGCCGGTACAGGCTTTGGCCATATAAGAATATCTTCTATGAAATATCTTAACCATTTTGCTTCTTCTCCTGCTTTGTCTAAAGCAATAAACTCAAATTCCATAGTAGATCGAGCTATACACGTTTGCTTAGAAGATTTCCATGATATAATGCCACCACCGAGAGTAAATACATAGCCACTGGTAGACTTTGACTAGTCTGTATCTGATATCCAATTGATATCACTATATCCTTCAATTACTGGAGGATATTTTCCATAGTGTAATGAATACTCTCTGGTCCGTTTCAAGTATCCCAAAACTCTGAGTAATGCATCCCAATGTTGATTACTTGGGTTACTTGTGTAACGACTCAGCTTACTTACCAAGTAAGCTATATCAGGTCTTGTACAATCCATCAGGTACATTAAACTACCAATAATTTGGGAATATTCTAACTGCTATTTCCCATTTCCACTATTCTTGTGAAGAACTATATGTGGAAGAAATGGGTTACTCGTCTCTTTAATATTATGAGTCTTAAACCTCTCAATTATTTTATCAACATAATGGGTTTGAGATAAAACTATTCCATTTGATGTTCTAGATATCTTTATTCTTAGAATCACGTCTGCTTCACCCATATCTTTCATGTCAAAGTTATTGGTAAGTATATTTTTGTTCTATTGATGACTTCTATATTAGTCCCTAATATAAGCATGTCATCAACATACAAACAGACAAGTACGTATGCCTTTTCGAATTTTTTCGAATATACGCATTTGTCACATCCATTTATGACGAATCCATTCCTAATCATGATGCTGTCAAACTTTTCGTGACATTGTTTAGGAGCTTGCTTCAAACCGTATAAGGACTTAACTAGTTTGCAAACTTTGTTCTCTTGTCCTTTCACTATAAAACCTTCTGGCTATTCCATATATACTTCTTCATTTAAATCACCATTCAGGAATGCAGTCTTAACATCCATTTGATGTATTTGTAAGTTATACAAGGCTACAATAGCAATTAAAACCCAAATAGAAGTAATTCTTGTTATTGGAGAATGTGTCAAAGAAATCAATTCCTTCTTTCTGACAATATCCTTTTGTAACCAGTCGAGCCTTGTATTTGTCTATTGAACCATCAGATCTTAACTTTCTTTTAAAGATTCATTTGCATCCTATTGGTTTAGTTCCCTTAGGGAGATCAACCAATTGCCAAGTATTATTACTCATAATAGATTCAATTTCACTATTTATAGCTTCCTTCCAGAATATGGATTCTGGACTAGTCACAGCTTCTTTAAATGTTTGGGGCTCTTTCTCAATTACGAAAGAAATAAAGTCTGGACTAAAAGATTTAGCGACCTTTGTTCTTTTACTCCTCCTTGATTCAGGTTCTGTATTGTTTTCAATAGCATTATCTCGTGTTTTCTTCTGAGAATTCTCAAGAATATCTCTTTTATTAGGGAACACATCTTCAAAGAATTCAGCATCTCGAGATTCAAAAATTGTATTGACATGAATGTCACTTATATCAGATTTATGCACAAGAAATCTGTACGTATTACTAGTTATTGCATATCCGATAAAAATGCAATCAATAGTTTTAGGATCTAACTTAATCCTTTTGGGAGGTGGAATAGCCACTTTAGCTAGGCACCCCACACTTTAAGTATTTATAGGAAGGCATTCTACCTTTTCATAGTTTTCTTATGGGGAACTCTATTCAGAAAAAAGTTAGCAGTTAACACTGCTTCCCTCCACAAGTTTTGTGGTAATCCAAAACTTATAAGCATAACATTAACTATGTCTTTTAGAATTCTGTTTTTCCTCTCAGCAATCCCATTTTGCTGTGGAGTATACGGGGCTGTTGTTTGGTGAATAATACCAAACTTAGCACATAATTCATCAAACGTGGACGAATCATATTCACCACTTCTATTGGATCTTAATACCTTAATTGTTTTTCCAAGTTGATTTTCAACTTCGTTTTTGTAAGTAACAAATGCATTCAATACTTCGTCTTTGCTACTTAATAAATAAACTTGGCAATATCTACTGTAATCATCTATAAACGTGATAAAATATTTTTTACCACCTCGAGTCTGAACAAATTTTAGATCACAAATATCGTTGTGTATTAAACACAACGGTTCACTACTCCTTTCAATTGTGTTAAAAGGTTTTTTAGCAAATTTTGTTTCAACACAAATTTCACATTTATGTTTGTCTTCGGAGTCAAGCTTAGGTATAAGACCTAAACCTACAAGTTTTCTTTAGTAAGCACGATTTACATGTCCTAATCTGCTATGCCCTAAATTCGAAGATTCAAGCAAGTAAACAGAAGCATTAGTTCTATTGATAACTTGTGGATACAAATATGTGAATTTTTTGTCCATTACAACAGCATTGGCCTTAAATAGACCATCAAGTAAATAACTCTTCCCAACATACATGCCCCCCTTAGTAAGTACAAATCTATCAGATTCAAACACCATTTTAAATCCTTTCTTACTAAGAATAGCTCCTGAAATCAAATTCTTTCTGATATCTGGGACATGCACAACTTCATTAAGCGTCAGTTCCTTCCCCGATGTGACTTTTAGAATAACCTTTCCAATCCCTTCAATATTGGATGTTGTAGAATTTCCCATGTAAAGACACTCATTATGATTCAAGATCTTATATTCAGCGAATAGATCCTTATCTACACAGATGTGACGAGTGGCTCCTGTGTTCAACCACCAATCCTTGGCATTAGATACCAAATTAACTTCAGAAACAATAGCTGATAGGTTGATGTCTCCAACATCCGTAGAAATTTTTTCCACTTCGGTTATATTGGCTTGGGGCGATTTCTTTTTCTGTGTATCCTTCTTTTTGCTTCGACAGTCATTAGC